ATTGTAGAGATGAGGTCTCACCAAGTTGCCCAGGCGGGTCTCGAACCCTTGGGCTCAGGCAATCCACTCACCCCAGCCTCCCAAAGCGCTGGGATTACAAGCTGAGCCACTGAGCCTGGCTAGGTATCCTTATTGATGTTACATGCCCCCCACCCCCTCCCTGGCAATTTCCCACTACTGCCAATCCCTTTCTTACAGTATTATGGTAAATGTTCAAGGTCCACTTATGAGTGAGGACATGTAGTACTCAGTTCTTTGTTTCTGTGATAGATCACTGAGTATTATAGACTCTAAATCCATCCAAGTTGCTGCAAAGTCCAAAATTTTGTCCTCCTTTATGGCTGCATAATATTCCATCATGTAGGTATACCACATTTTTTTAACCAGCTCAGTTTTGATGGGCAATGCGGTTGGTTCCATGTTTCTACTATTGTGAGTACCGCTGCAATAAATGATGTCCTTTGTAAAGGGTTTTCACCCGTGCAATTCAAGAATGAATGACAGAGTTTAAGGCTTTCCTAGTCAGTCCTGACTGTTCCACTAGAAAGGAGCGATGTCCGGCTCCTGAGAGATGGGACGGAAGGAGACAATGGGAGGCTTGGGTGTGGCATTCATCTCTAAGAGGGATTTGTAACAGGCTGGGGTAGACGTCAGAGCCCTTTCCCATACAGGAACTATGACCATTGACTTGCTCAGGGTGGCACAGACAGTGCTATTAGAACCTGGTTGAGGACTCTTCACCCCGTGCTTTTCGTTGTCTGTTTGTTTTGCATCAGAGTCTCACTCTCACCCAGGCTGGAGTGCAGGGGCAGGGTCACTGCTCACTGCAGCCTCTACCTTCTGGACTCAGGTGATCCTTTTGCCTCAGCCTTCTGAGTAGCTGGGACTACAGGCACATACCACCACAGCCGGCTAATTTTTTGCCTTTTTTGTAGAGACGAAATCTCGCTATATTGCCTAGGCTGGTCCCAAGCTCCTGGGCTCAAGCAGTCCTCTTGCCTCGGTCTCCCAAAGTGCTGGGATTACAGGCGTGGGCCACTGTGCCTGGCTGACCCCTGTGCTTTTTGTTGCCAGGGCATAGACCTAGTAAGTGAGGGTGCAGGAGTGACCACCTGTCCAGGTTTGTCTAGAACTTACTCCGTTTTAGCACTGAAAACCCTCTATCCTGGGCAGCCCTTCCCAGTTTGAAAACCAGACATGGTCACTCCAGATGGTGCCAAGAAATGAACTGAGGCAAGTCCTGCTGCAGCCCTGCTCCAGCCTCTGCATCCATGCTTCTCAACTGCAATACACAGCCCCTTTGTTAACATAGAGATGCTGGCTCTGGAGGGCACAGACAGGCCCGAGGTCCTGCATTTCTTTTCTTTTTTTTTTGAGTTGGAGTCTCACTCTGTCACCCAGACTGGAGTACAGTGACACACTCTCAGCCACTGCAACTTCGACCTGCTGGACTCAGTCTTCCAAGTATCTGGAACTACAGGCATGCACTACCATGCCCAGCTAATTTTTGATTTATTGTAGGGACGAGGTCTCGCCGAGTTGCCCAGGTGGGGCTCAGGCAATCCACTCGCCTCAGCCTCCCAAAGTGCTGGGATTACAGGCTGAGCCACCAAGCCGGCCAGAGGTCCTGCATTTCTAACCTGCTCTCAGTGATGTTGCCTTCGCAGGTCAGGACCTAACTTTGAGTGGTGACAACTTCTATAGGACCCCTGAGGCTCCATGGTCCTTCCAGGGGCTCCCACCATCTGGGGCCAGACACACAGCCATCAGCCCAGAGAGCCCACCGGAACCACAGGCGATGATCCCACCAGTTCATCAGTGGGGCCCAGGGCAACTTCTGTGCCCCCCCCCACCACCCACTCTGGTCCTAGACAAGCCCTCTTCGCTTATCTCAGGGGCCTTCCCAGCTATCCTGCTCCCTGGTGTTCATTCAGGGGCCTCAGTGCCAAGTTCATGCCTTTCGGACTCAGCTACAATTCTGGGAAAGCCCACTACAGCACATGGCCCCGCTGCCTGGCACCTTCAGGCCAGCAGAGTGGTCCCCTTAAGTGCTGGGTGTTCAGGGCTGGCTGCAGGTAAAATTGCAAAGTAGATTGTCTCAGGGACCTTGTATTTGGAGAACTGACCTAGTTACTTACAGTTTAGGAATGATCCTGCATATTCTTAAATATACATCAGGTTGTAATGTTAAATTCCGGGGTTCCTTACCACCCCAGAACCACTGTTTGGGGCTCATAGACTGAGACGTTCTGCTTTAAACCTCAGAAGATCAGAGGTGACGTTAGTACTGACATACTCGGCTCTGGGGAAATCCAGGATCTTTCTAACGTTGTCCCTCTGATTAAGCCCTGCTTGATTGTTTATTAGCAAAGGCTGCAGGGTGGTGGATCTCAAAAGCTAGGCGGTGTCTCATGCAAGTGTGGACCTGGGAGGCAGCAAGACTTGGATTTGAGCTCATACTCTGCTACTTACAAGCTGAGTAGCTTTTCACCAACTGCTCTCTGAGCCTCAGTTTCCCCATCTACTGAAAGGGGTTATTAATACCTACCTCACAGCACCATGGTGAGGACTGAGGGAGTGCCTTTGTTAAGATGCGTGATGCATAAAAGATACACCTAGATACTTCCGTTGTAACTGCAGTAGGTCCATTGCCCAAGGAGCAGCAAATCAATACATGAAGACGCTGGGTTGCAGCTGAAAATGAGGTTTAATTGTAGAGCTGTCCCACGAGGAGATGGGAGGCAACCTCAAATCTTCCTAAGGATTTGGGGTCTAAGGTTTTTAAGGATTTTGTAGTGGGCCAAAGTGTGGCGATTGTGGTCAGAAAGTGCAGAGTGAAATCCTAGGACAGGGAAGTGAAGAGGCTGTGTTCTTGCACTGATCCCGTTCCTATGTGGGGGGTCTTCAAACTGGCTGACATCAGCGGTGTTGCTGGAATTTGAGATCGGAAAAACATCTTAAGCAATTCTTAAACAAAAGCCTTATGATTCCAATGTCAGAGATCCTGTCTAGAGGACCCGTGAGGGTGCAGTGGTCAGTATCTATTGCTGGTGACTTTCGGTTCCAAGGAAGTGGGTCAAAGTGCAGGCTGCTTAATGCTTCATTATTAGTGCTGGTTAATGCTTACAATTTAGCGAAGTTCCTGTATATTCTTAAATTTCCATTGGGTTATAATGTTAAATTCCGGGGTCCCTTACCATCCCAGAACCACTGTTTCGGGCTCACAGGATGAGACGATCGGCTTTAAACCTCAGAAGTTCAGAGGTGACGTTGGTACTGACATACTCGGCTCTGGGGAAATCCAGGGTCTTTCTAACATTGTCCGTCTGATTAAGTTCTGCTTGATTATTTATTAACAAAGGCTGCAAGATAGTGGATCTCAAAAGCTAGGCGGTGTCTCATGCAAGTGTGGACCTGGGAGGCAGCAAGACTTGGATTTGAGCTCATACTCTGCTACTTTCAAGCTGAGTAGCTTTTTACTTCTGTCCAAAATCCTTGTTAACCCAGGGATGGCGGCTTTACCATCATCACCATCACTTATTGTGATTCTGTTCTGCCTTTAAAACACGGAGCTTGGCCAGGTTCGGTGGCTCAACCTGTCATCCCAGCACTTTGGGAGGCTGAGGTGAGTGGATTGCCT